TCCCGAGCCGAGGCAACTTTGGTGATGACAGACACGTGGCCTTAGGCACGAGTCAGGGTTTCCTAAATTTTCCAAAAATAAAATGTTTAGGTGGCGACTCTGTATCTGGCAAAGCAGTCCATGTTTGACACTTCTTTCTAAAAATTAATTTTTCAAAACGATTTGCCGGATTTGGACTCTTTGGTGATTTATCAATCTCGCATTGCACTTTGCAAGATCAGATTAAGAACTGTGACATTGAGTCCGAACTGTAGTGAGCCCAATGAACAAAACGATATTTTCCGGGGACGTTCGGGCGCGTATACAGTTTCTGGAAACTCTGCTGGGGATTTAGAGAACTTAACTCGAACTTATGATATCTTGTTTTGACTACACTTATGTGTTTGTTTGCATTGCATGTGCATTAGTGCGCCTAGGGCACAGTGTTTGCCGTCTGCTATTCCTGAACGGTTTGCCGGAGGCTCACTTTGAGAAGCGTGCCATAAGGCTGACCGGTTACAGGCTCTGCCACGATGGGAACACAAACCCCGATTTTTGCCGGGGCATCATTTTTGACCATTCGACCTAGTGCATATCGGAATCCATAGTGACCATCCCAAACTAGGACTGGTTGCTTACCAGATTGTAGGTTGTTTGAAACCGCTGTATGCGTAGTGAAACCCTAGCTCCTGACAAAATAGAACAAGGAAACCCTACCCCAACATAGGGATGTTTTGGCCCTCACTTGCTATGTGCTTTTAGAGTGCGTCTCTACAAGAATGCATGTATCAGTTGCAAGTCTGGGTATCAGGCCTGAGGGCATCAATATTTGGAAGAATCAATTTTACCTGTGGGTATCAGTTTACAGGGAAGAATTTTAGGCAGAATCCAGTAGAGAGTGCAGTCATTCAACTATGCTCATATCTGTTCTGGTGAAATTAGGCTGAGATGCTGCCTGTTTTCTCTTTTGCTAGGGGTAGTCTTGGAACCATAGCTTCAGAAGGCTCCAATATCCCCCGGTACATTGGACTTGTGCTGATAGACTTTGTCAGGTCAGAGATTCAGTTCATGGGCAAATCAGTGTTCCTTCGCCAAAGGCAGGGTAGAAAGGTCAGTCAGGCGCAGATCATCAGTTCAACAGCCTTCGGATCAGCAGTCATTATCCATCTCACCTGTGTGCAGTTGGGTTGAGATATCTGCTTTTACCACAGAGACAGATATACCGATAGATTAGTTAGATCAGGGCAGTATGGCGAGAATGGAAGAGATGATGCATCGGCTCCAAGAGAGTATGAAAACCATGCAGCAGGACGCTGCTCGTCAAGCAAAATTTGCCAAACAGCAGGCTGAGGTCATGGCCCAACAAGCAGAGGTAATTATCAGACTATAGCAGTAGACTGGAGCATCTGTTTCACACCAGGCTCCTCCTCCACCAAGAGTTCCTATACTCGGGGAAACAATTAACGCCCAGGATGATACGGACATTCCAATAGGGCCGGCTCCGCCCCCGATCCTACCCCAGCTATCCAAAGCGCAGACCAACCGACCGGATTCTCCCTTTGAGTACGAGGTGGACCCCACAGCGTTGAAAGTGAGCAAGCTTGAAAAGCTGTTCAAGAAGTCTCAGGGTGTGAAGTCCATTTCGGATATTGAGGATGGGTACATCGACTCGGCGGTAACGCTGCCGGACCGATTTAAGATGCCACACATAGACCGCTTTGACGGGTCTGGAGATCCTATGGTGCATCTGCGGCTATTTTCAAACATACTAAGGCCGATGGGCCTCTCCAGATTACAGAAGCTTTCCTTGTTTGGCCAGACCCTGTCGAGTTTAGCGGCTATTTGGTATGCAAAACTAGAGGACTCCGTCAAGAGGAATTGGGAGGAGATGGCTGAGGCCTTCATAGCTCAATACTCCTATAACACGTAGATTGAGATTACAACCCGTGATCTTGAGACCACTAGGCAAGAGCTGAAGGAGAGTTTCTCCGATTTTGTAACCCGGTGGAGGGCTAAGGCCTCGATGATGACCATCAGGCCTGTTGACAAAGATCAGATTCAGATGGTTGTGCGCAACCTCCTGCCCAAGCTCATGCAGAAGATGATCGTTCTCCCCCTCCCCACCTTTGCAGATCTACATGAGATTGGGGTACAGATCGAGGACGCTATGAAGCAGGGCCTCATTAACCAGGAGAAGGAGCAGCCCAGGAGGGCGTTTTCCCGCAGTTCGAATGCGACCATCAGTGGTGATGTAGCTGCAAGACCTTCTAAAGTGGGCATGGTCACCACCACCGCATCAAAAACAGCTACCCCATTCACCGGTGCGTCCAGAAGTAGCTCACAAAAAACCAAATATCCACCTCGAGTCAAGAGGGTTTTTACCCCACTTTATATGCCTTTGTCAAAGGCTCTAGAGGTATTACTTCGGAAAGGATATCTGAAACCGTTGGAACAACAACCTCTGCCCGATTCATTAACCAGGAGAAGGAGCAGCCCAGGAGGGCGTTTTCCCGCAGTTCGAATGCGACCACCAGTGGTGATGTAGCTACAAGACCTTCTAAAGTGGGCATGGTCACCACCACCGCATCAAAAACAGCTACCCCACTCACCGGTGCGTCCAGAAGTAGCTCACAAAAAACCAAATATCCACCTCGAGTCAAGAGGGTTTTTACCCCACTTTATATGCCTTTGTCAAAGGCTCTAGAGGTATTACTTCGGAAAGGATATCTGAAACCGTTGGAACAACAACCTCTGCCCGATTCCATCCCTCTAAAGCATGACCAGACTAAATACTGTGCATACCATCAATAAACCGATCATGACACTGACAGTTGCTTTCGTCTTCGCCATGATGTACAAGACCTATTTGACAACAAGGTCATCGCCGCACCAGCTTAGCAAAGTCTATCGGCACTGGATCAGTGAACTTGGGGGATAGTACGAATATGTGATCAGGGGATAAACCACCTGCGAGCACACACTATTTTGAGCATTTATGAATGCTGGTTTTGTACTTTCTGACTCGGGTATTGAGTCAGTTTTGTTATGTCATTTAGAGTCTGCCCCGTTGTATAGAGTCAGTCTTTTCATGCTGAGTCAGTTGGGTCTGTCTTGTTGTATCGAGTCAGTCCTGTTTTGTTAGAGTCGGGTGATCCCGGGAGCGTTACCTCAGATATCGCTATTTTGTTTTGTGTTTGCCTTTTCATTTTCTTTTGAGTCTGTTTCTGCCGGGGAGCCAGTTACACCAGAAGATCTAATTGAAACAGCTGTGGTTTTCATGCTTTTGTGCTTGTTTCTGCTTTGAGCCTGTTACGCCAGCAAACTTGAATGAAACGACAGTGCTTTTCACCTTTTTTTCTGTGCCTTTAAGTCATTACATCGACCCAAGTTTTTCAAAACCTTTTTGAACATTGTGATGAAAACAAAGAGGAAGGAATTCCTCGGGTTTTGCAAAATTTGATCAATTGAGAGAAAGAGAGGCATGCTAAGCCCTTAATAATTGAAATCATGCTTGTTAATGTGAGTACTGAGAAGGATCCTGGCCTGATCCAGATTGGTTCCGCATTGTCTTCAGCGCGAGCGACTAGTCGCTTTCTTAAAAGATTTCAAAAAAAATGTGTTTTGCGCCGTCTTGCAAAGACCTGTGTGGAATTGCTCTTAAGATTGTGTAGCCCAAGATCGATCTCAGCCTCAAGACTCAACCTCTTACTTTCAAACCTTGAACTTGGATTCAGAACGTTCAAAGGTCAATCATGATGTGAGGCCTGTGTGGCCAGATTTGAAGCAACCCACGAACTAGGGGCAAGAAAGTCAAATCAAGAAGCTTGTGAAGCTAGATCAGAAGCACCCCTCGAGCTAGGGGCAGCAAAAATGTCAAATGCGCTCGAACAGTCTAAAGTTGGGGCATTTCTCAAGCTAACGAAGATCGACAAGAATGCCAAATCCCAGAAAAGTATTGCTGAAGGACAGTCGAGTTCCTATCCACAACATTGGGGGCAATTCAGCCCCCCATTGGATGGACTCCTACATCATCAGCGAACAACGACCACTCTTCTGGATTCAGATGGTATCGAAATCTCAAAACCATTTGACAGGGACCAAGTTATACTTTTACCCTTGAGAGGCTCGCTGGGCCGAAAACCCGGAAGGGCGACCTAGGCAAAAGTTAGAGCAAGAAAAAAAAAAGAACAAAAAAAGAGAAAATGAAAAGTGATGAAAATGAAAAATTCTGAACAAAGAAAAAAAATGAAAAAGAAATGAAAAGAAAAGAAAAACAAAGCTCGCAAAGTTGAAAACCCGGAAGGGCGGCCTTGGCAAAAGTTAGAACGCAAAAAGAGAGGTTAATACCCGAGTGTACCTTAACCCCGAACTACGTAAGGCTTGATTCCCATGTTTGGGATACTTAGGCAACTTCGTTCTGAAGTCCAGCCGTAAAACACTTCAAATTCAACTGTCCTGTCTATGAGATTGAACGGGTCATCTTTGTCATTTCTGTATCCAAGAGTTCGATTATGACTCTCACCATGAGACTGGTTATAGTACGCTGCAGTACTATTCAAACAAGGGGCAACTTTCCGTTGCCATACAGTGTGTTACGGTGCTATCACTACAAGAATTTACACATTTTGCGACCACTTTTGCCGACCAAAAAAATTTTGGTTGCCAAAAAATGACATTTGGCGACCAAATATCAATTAGTCGCGAATGATCATTAATTTTGGTGATCAAATATTATTGGTCGCAGAAGGTTATATTTTGGCGACCAAAAAATGAGTTGGTCGCAAAAAGTGGTATGCTTTTACCGACCAACTACAAATTTGGTTGCGGAAGGTCACATATTTTTTGGCGACCAAAAATTTGGTCGCCAAAAACTTATTTTCAGCAACAAAAAAAAATTAGTCGCCAAATTATATTTTTAGCGACTAATATTTTAGTCGCCAAAATTACTTTTCTTTTTCCCTCTTTCAATCTAACCGTCCATCTCTCACCATCTCACTCACCTCATCTATAACAAACAAAAGAAAAAACCCTAATCGCTGTCTATACCTCACTCTCAGTCTCATCTCATCTCATCTCATCATTGTCTCTCTCACTCTCTCGTTTCGTTGTTCATCTCCATCTTCTGCACCGATCGGCGATCACTCTCATCTCATCACTGTCTCTCTCACTCTCTCGTTGTTCATATCATCGCACCGATCGTCTCACTCTCTCATCGCACCGATCTATTCACGGGTAAGCCTCTCTCTCTCTCTCTCTCTCTCTCTGTCTCTCTCTCTCTTGCCCCGATCGAATGTGAATCTGTGTTCTGTGTGTTTGTTGGACCAACAGATCTAAATCTGTGTTCTGTGTGTTTGTTTTGGTCTGAATCTGTTTTGGTCTGAATCTGTGATCTGAATCTGTGTTCTGTGTGTTCTGTGTGATCTGAATCTGTTTGATCTTAGATCAAAGGTAAGAGTATATGTCTGTTATCTAAAAATCAAGGTCTGAGTTATGATTCTACATTCTTTAGAGTGATTTTTTAAATGATTAGGATTTAAACCTGTAAAAATTGAAAATTAAATTTGAATGTTTGTGTGGTTTGTGTGTTTTGGAATCAAATTAAATTTAAATTGAAAATCAAGGTCTGAGTGTTTTGGAATTGAATGGTTTGTGCTTAAGGAATGGTTTGAATCTGTAACTACTACTCTTAGTTTTTTATATTTTCAGGAATTCTGAATCAATCTGTTATGAAAATTAAAATTAAATCTGTTTTTGGAGTTAATTTTTGATTTAACACATTCAATCTGTGATGAATATGTTTTTTAGGGCTGTTGATCACCAATATGAGGGTAATATCTTTGCCATAGCTGGAGCTCAAGTAGATATATGGGATCATAATAGGTTTTGAAACTCTACTTGTTTTGATTCTTTTTGACTTCCTGAATTTTTTCTACCTTTACATGCTATTTTTTCTCATTGTAAATAGGTCCCAGCCTGTGAATAGCTTTGAGTGGGGAAAAGACACAGTTATATCTGTTCGATTTAATTCTGGGAAACCAAATATCTTGGCCACATCAGCTAGGTATGCATGGCATTACAATCCCAAGATTTAAGTGGATGGTTTGAGTTCTAAAATTGCATTCTGAATTTATAAATTTCAGTTATGTTGCACCTTGACAATTCTTTTATTGTTTCTTGCCCCTGTGTTCTACTCTAATCTGATGTACAAGTTTTATTGCATGCTAGATTTTTCTGTATTCAGTATGGTTTTTATAGCAGTATGCATTTTTGTTTCGGAAGGAAGAGAGTGTTGGGTGGCTGTTGTTGTTGTGTGGCTTTGCTTCAGTGGTTTCGTTACATGTGGCTTCTTAGCTGTTGTGTTGTGTGGGTAGGGCCTAGGGCATGTCCCCTATAAACTTGTAAATTTTTTTGTTCTATTTTATGTCTTATTCACCCAAAAAAAAAAAAAAAAATTCACCAACCGAAGCCAATTAGTTGTTCGCATTAGGCAATACCAGTGAGATTTTACTTCATTCTTTCCAAATGACCTAAATTTGAGCAAATATCAAAATGAGGAATCATTAAAAAGTGAGTATTTTCCTCAGCTACTTTATTTGGTAATTGGGAAACAGAGGATAGTCTATAAAAACCAAATCTTGAATCTTTTTTTTCTTCTATATTTTCTGAAATAATTTTTAGTTTTCACTGTGAATATTTCTTCTCCTCCTAAGTAGTTGCAACCTGCAAGGCAGTTCTATTATATTGAACAATTCTTAACCAAAATGAAATCATATTTTCAAATTCTAACTGCTCTAAATTTTTCTTGTTAGGTGAATATGAGCATTGCAATGCTTCCATTTTCACAAGAGTTTAACTGGAACAGTGCAACAGCTGGTCTCATTCAGTCTTCCTTTTTCTGGGGCTATCTCCCCACTCAACTTGACTCAAACATTGGCAGTTTTTGCTTTTTAGAAAAGGCAATTTTAGAATTTATGTAAAACTCCATAAAAGTGCTTTTTCTAACTTCCACCACCCACATATATGGTTCTAAGGGGTTTAAAATTGTTATTTTTTTTTTTTCACTAACTCAGAACTAGCAATTGGTTCTAATCTTCAAATGTCATTTATATGTTGTATCAACCCTGATACTTGGACTTTTAGAATTGTAATGCAGATATATCTAGCGTGCACACACATACTCACACAACCCTTCTTGTTTATCACCTATAGTGGGTCTTGGTCCTTTTATCTGGAAACAATTAACAGTCACGATTTTGAATCTGTATGTCTCTGGCTGTCATCATCTAAGCCAGTGGTTGAAATTGTAATCCACATACTTTGGTGATTGTACATTTGAAATAGTGATCAACTCTTCATTGCTCTTGATGAGATATTGTCCTTCCATTAATTTATTTTTTTTTATTGAAAGCAATTTACTTGGATTTTCAAAGCAATTTACTTGGATTTTCTGGATTGTCTGTTTGTTAATGTACTTGATTCATGTTATTGATAGAGATCATACTGCCAATTAGTGTTCTATCTTCTTGGTCAATTCCTTCAATGGTTGATAGCCTGAAACCAGGTCAAAGGAAGATCCTTTTCTGTTCTTTCAAGCGCAACTTTGTGAAGGAAGCAAAAGTTGCTCAATTCTCTGGTTATGTATCTGAGCATTCAGCTTACCATCAGGGTGAGCAGAGTCTTGCCAGTACCATCATTGGCATGGCACAGGATTATGTGGGCAGCAATAACTTAAACCTGCTTTTACATTTTTATTCCAGAACTAAGGCAAGTATATGGCACCCATAATTATCTACTGGAGTCTGAGCCTCTCAAAAATCTTGATAATGATGAATATTTGCTATTTTATTATTGATAATTTAATCCCTTTATTCATGTTTCATAATGATATGTGTTCTTGGTTCTGGCCAGAAGTAACTCGATTGCATTTTATTTCTTAATACTTTGCTTTAAAAGCTTAAAGCGTACTTCGCTGCCTTCACCCTATTGCAAGCTTACTTTGTGAATTGCAGTCATAGGTTCATAATTCTAATCAGGTTGAATACTTGAAATAAGTGATTTGTCCTTTCCCCAATATTTGCTTTTAAATGAATTATTTTCATTTTTAGGAGAATTAAGGAGTTGAAGACAGACATTGATGTTCCTGATGACGTTATTAATCAATTCAAGAACTTCTGGTTGAATTTCAAAGATACACCTTTAAAAGGTAAAAACATCTTATAAAATTCAAGAAGTTCTGGTTATATATATTTATACACATACATATATCTATGTTTAGATTCTATTTGCTTCTGCACCAAGTTGTTTAGGTTGCTGTTCTACTTTTCTAGTTTTGCCTAACACGTCAACGTCACCACAGGGAGGAATGCCATTCTGCGAGGTATATGCCCACAGATTTTTGGACTCTTTACTGTAAAGCTTGCAGGTGTTTTATCATCCCATTTTAATTTGTCCCTTTTCACATAACTTCTAAGGTTGCCATTGCATTGTGTGCTTCAGTTTTGGACATAAAAATAACTATATTTAGTGATGATTTTCCATCAATCCAGTTGCATTAACACTTATTGGAGGTGTGCAACATGCTGATGCTTCTGGGACGAAAGTTCGAGGAGAGTCTCATTTGCTTCTGGTTGGTGATCCAGGTGACCTTTTTCTTTTCATATATAATATACTTCATATTTTATAAGTAAATTCTTGCGTGCTTCCTGTGGCATAAATTTGAACAATTCAAAAGCAAAGAAATCGTGAATATAGTCGATCATTATTAACTACACTGCCCCACCCATGGTCATTGCTTCCTTAAACTTGTTTACACTTCTAGACTGACTAGAGTTTTGCTTTGATTTTGTAAATTTTAATTCAGTATTAAGTTTTCACTTGATAAACTCTCTTAAACCTTTGGAAATTATTCTACTTTTGGCGTTACTATAATTAAAACTGGACTAAAAAATTAAATCCTCACTCCACCCTATAATCAATCATGACATTTTGTTGATCTAGTCCATTCATGATTGACTAGACCTGGCATGGCACTGAGGATGCTGTTACAATTCTAAATACTGATCTTACACTACCATACATTTACACTAGTCTCATATCACAAATATATGTCATTTTTGCTTCATGAGCTAGATTGAAAATTGTAGCATGTAATTTTAATATGCATTCCTGTAGTTAGAACATTGAACCTGAAATACTTTCTTAATACCTCCTGGTTTTGGTATTATGATTACTTATTAGAAGTACAATATGCTAGAGGGAGTAATACTGCTAAGTTATCTTGTGCAAAGTACTGTAAAATTATGTCTGCTTTTGGGCTACAGTACATATATATATAAATCGGATGACTAACTTGAGCAAAGGCTATTTTCTGTTCACAGACATCTAGATGAAAACAAGTAACCTAATCTTTGTGCACTATGCCAAAGGTTAGGTGTGTACCCAATCTTTCCCCTCCTAAACATACTAATTGGGCGTTGTTTTTTTAGTGTTGGTCTTGAATAAATACCAATCTAAAATTTTTATTTCATAATTTGTTTCAACTGCTAAAATGGTACAAAAACTGATGCATTAAAGCTTCTCTGTAATTCTATAACTCTACCAGGTACTGGAAAGTCTCAATTCTTGAAGTTTGCTGCTAAATTGAGCAATAGATCAGTTATTACTACTGGTTTGGGAAGCACTAGTGCTGGATTGACAGTTACTGCAGTCAAGGATGGAGGTAACCTTTGTTGACCTTCTGGCTTAATAGTTATGTTTGAACTTGGGTCAAGTTTGCAACATATTTGTTGTTTTAGGTGTCTCTTCTTGGTCAATTCCTTCAATGGTTGATGGCCTGAAACCAGGTCAAAGGAAGATCCTTTTCTGTTCTTTCAAGCGCAACTTTGTGAAGGAAGCAAAAGTTGCTCAATTCTCTGGTTATGTATCTGAGCATTCAGCTTACCATCATGGTGAGCAGAGTCTTGCCAGTACCATCATTGGCATGGCACAGGATTATGTGGGCAGCAATAACTTAAACCTGCTTTTACATTTTTATTCCAGAACTAAGGCAGGTATATGGCACCCATAATTAACTACTGGAGTCTGAGCCTCTCAATTATCTTGATAATGATGAATATTTGCTATTTTATTATTGATAATTTAATCCCTTTATTCATGTTTCATAATGATATGTGTTCTTGGTTCTGGCCAGAAGTAACTCGATTGCATTTTATTTCTTAATACTTTGCTTTAAAAGCTTGAAGCGTACTTCGGTGCCTTCACCCTATTGCAAGCTTACTTTGTGAATTGCAGTCATAGGTTCATAATTCTAATCAGGTTGAATACTTGAAATAAGTGATTTGTCCTTTCCCCAATATTTGCTTTTAAATGAATTATTTTCATTTTTAGGAGAATTAAGGAGTTGAAGACAGACATTGATGTTCCTGATGACGTTATTAATCAATTCAAGAACTTCTGGTTGAATTTCAAAGATACACCTTTAAAAGGTAAAAACATCTTATAAAATTCAAGAAGTTCTGGTTATATATATTTATACACATACATATATCTATGTTTGGATTCTATTTGCTTCTGCACCAAGTTGTTTAGGTTGCTGTTCTACTTTTCTAGTTTTGCCTAACACGTCAA